TTGAGGCGTAACACATATGGCTTAAAAAAGTAAGTTAATGACATTAATTAAACGGCAATTTGTCAATATTATTCTTTTGCTTTTGCCCAAATTTTACTTAAAACAAGAGAATTTTGTTTAACACAATACTTTCTTTGTCCCTAATTACTTGTTCACTTTTTAATTGACACACCTATTAAGAAAGCAATTATTGACATAATGAGTTTACCATTTTACCCCTATTAATTATGAAATGGATGAATTAAAAACTTAAGATTTTCAAGAAGTTCTATTTTTTTAAAGTAATTGATTGAGGATATAATAGGTAATTTTTTTGTCTTTTCTTGATTTGTCAAAATGAACAGATAATTAGGAACAATTAAAAAAGAAAAAGTAAACAAGTTATTAGGGATACAGAAAATAAATTTTGCTTTTGTTTATCTATTACTTTATCTATTGGATTAATTAATTTGTTTTATTACTCCCTCCGTCCCATTTTATGTGAGGTACTTTGACTCGACACGGAGTTTAAGAAAGAAAGGAAGACTTTTAAAACTTGTGGTCCAAAATGAATGATAGAAATTTGTGTGACTATAAATCATTTCATTAAAGGTAAAATAAACATTTTATAGTTAAATTGTTATTTTATATAAAAATGTGTCATTCTTTTTTGGACTGACTAAAAAAGAAAGCGAGTCATATAAATTGAGACAGAGGGAGTAAGAATTTGCATGACCACTTCGATACTTTTTATTGGTGTGATTAATTAATTAATTATTTGTTTTTTTAAAAATAATTTGCATGACAGAGAGCATGTTTGTCTTTGTCCTTACAAATGACTCGTCAATGCCTTGTAATTAGTGGACAACAAATGATGTATACTTATTCCTAATTTGTTGGATTATTTTGGCCAATCACTTTGTGCCATTCAAAATCATCAACCTACAAGGTTTAATTTGATGTTCTTTCTTAATTAGTAAGGTTTAAGAGAGGTTCATAATTCTTTTTACATATATAATATAAGGGTGATTAATTTAGCTTTACAAATGTGTAAAACTTATTCAAGGACACAAAAAAAACTTTCTATCATAAGCTGTTTTTTTTTATAGAGTTTAAATTTGAAACTTTTAATTAAAAACAGAGGGAGTTTGATCTAACCATCACATTTTAGTGGATGTTTTTGATAGTGATGTTTCTATTAAGTACTCTACTATGACTTGAAGTGTTCAACCAAAGGGTCTATGGGGTCTTGGAACAAGTCCCAAGAAACTTCTGTTTTGGATTTTTACAAATTTACGATCTCAACACAAAGGGTAAAGGGTTGGTAGAAAACTTGAAAACAATAGTCCAAAACGAGAAATTAAATTTCTATTTCTTCCATATTCCATACTAGAAGAAAACAGATTTTTTGGGGGATTTGGTACTTTTCAAGTCACTTTAAGTATTATTTACCAAGGGAAGTACCTTTCAAGAGTTTTTAATTTCCTTCATTCTCAAGTCAAGGCTTAAATTATGTATTAAAAAAAAGAAAAGCTCAAATAGGTCATCGAATTTTGATAAAAAATTCGATGACCTATTTAAAAGTTTGACTCATCTATGCCATTATTTGTTAACTCAAATGACATAGATGAGCCTTTTTTCAAAGTTCGATCACATATTTGAGCCTTTTCCTTTAAAAAAATGATTTAATTAATGACGTGGCCGAATCATAATTAAACACATAGAAAAAATGATTTCACAGAATCAAAACTTTTTTTAGTTAACAAATAATGACATGAATGAGCCTTTTCTCAAACAAAATGGCATAGCTCAAATTGGAATTCTTTTGGAGCATCTAGTACTACAACCCGTTCATGTGTGTTGTATATCTTTATTTTTTTTTTACTTTTTACTCGGTATTTTTATATTGATATTGGAGCTTGACTAATTCGAATTCACTATCGTATAAAGAGAATTGTATTCATCCAACCACAACTTTCTGTTGTTTTCTTTTCAATTCTACTTTCCATATGAGCAATTTTTGTTGAGTTAATATCTTAAAAGGTCACTGAACTATGATAAATTATCTATCAAAGTCATTGAACTTTCTTTTGTATCAATAAAATCAGGCAAAAAGTTCTGAAATATATCTGAATATTGACCGAAATTGTTGTTATGATACCAAACTTTGGAAAAGACCTTTTACCCTCTGTACTATTTAATAGTGTATTTTAAAGGTATATACATGCCCACGTGGACATAAACAATATTGCATAATTATAAATAGTAATGTGTCCACGTGGGCACATATATACCTTTAAAATACACTATTAAATAGTTCAGGGGAGTAAAAGGTCCTCCATAAAGTTTGGTATCGTAACAGCAATTTCGGCCAAAGTTGGAGTATTTTTCAAACCCTTTTCCCATAAAATCACTCAACTACATTCATTAATAAAATAAATTTAATATAACAAAATAAAATATTTGTATGCATGCCATGTAATTATGAACCCCATAAATAAATAAATAAAATTATAAAAATATATTTATTATTATATCCGACCCACCCACAAATTAGATACATCTAAAGAGTAATTAATTTCTAATTAAGAATAGAACTGGAGAACGTTGCTCCAGGAAATTACCAAAAGATCGATCTAGCGCTGCACTTTCAACTTGACTGCATGCTTTAACATCATTATTTGCTAATAATTATATTAACATTTTGCAAAAATAATTTAGCAAAAACTACTAATCTATCCGAAATTAGGCTTTAGACGAACCTAATTAGTGGTGTGTTAGGTATAATAATATATAGATTCTATAATACTATTATATATTTGTTGGGTTTATAATTATATGCCATAAAAATATTTTATATTGTCACGTTAAATTTATTTAAATAATAACTGTAACTAAGTGATATTTGAGGATAAAAGCTTTAAGTTAGTATTTTTGAAGATAAAAAATTTAAATTGAGTAGTTTTATTGATACAAAATAAAGTTTGATGACTTTATTAGATATTTTTTTATAATTCAGTGACATTTTAAGATATTGACTCAATTTTTGTTGTTAGAATAATGAAGAGATCTCCCACATAAACTTGAATTTTATATAATTTTATTCATATCTTATACTTAGTTTTGCTTCCTTCTGTGTGTTTTCTCCTTTGATACTTTCTCATTTCCATTAAAATTTCAGTTTGAATTGTTAAACGAACTTGAAATTAAGAAGTACATAAAAATTCTACAAAATTATATATTATAAACAGATATACATAATTTAGCCAAACTAACATGTTTATATAATATTATTTCCATATTACTAGAAATTTAGGAGTATCTAGGAGAATAAAGTAAAGAGCCCAAAATCTTCTTTTTAGCAGATTTAATGGGCTAAAAACTTTTAGTTTAATTATGGGTCAGGTGGAAAAGATCGTGTACTATTTTTCAGAGAACTCAAAAAGTAGAAAGCAGAAATTCATTTCCAATACCTACTTACTTTTCCCATGCACCAATCTAATCCCAATGGGTATAAGAGTGTTGACACAAAATAAAAATCAAAGCAAACATTGATGTATGTATTTTGGGTTTGAATTCTTTGAAACAAAGTCGCATTTGGTAGGAAATGATTTATCTTTAAAGTGAAACTTTCTTACGTAAGTTGGATTAGTCGAACAACAAAATAATAATTGAAAACCGTGTGAAAGATGAAACACTGGAATATATATCTAGAGCTACTCAGTATTTGTATTGGTGCATATAGTAGATATCGTGTGAAATTTGTCTAAGGTGAATGCAAAGTGATATGAATACCATGATTATTAAAAGTAAAACAAAAATAAAACACTGAAGTTCTTATCAATGATCTTGAACTGATTGTAGGCCTTTAAGGCCCAAACTAAAAGTAAGCCTAAACCAAAAGACTTTGGCCCAAGTTCCCTATATGTCCAAAGTGGAATATTCAAGAAAAATTCATGATTGTGGTGTCGTGGTGGATTGATCTACGCTTAACTAGAAATTTCGATTTCAAATTCTAAGTATGGAATTTGATTAGAAGCATCACCCCTAACGACGGGCAACTAGCTCGGTGGTAGAACATGCCCTTGAATGATAATAGCTCAGTGGTAGAACATGGCATTGATAATTGCCCAAATTATGACCTCTCCACAACTTCTGTATTTCATCTATTTAGTTAGCATTGGACCATAAATTCTTAAATATATTTGGCAAAATCAAATTTTGATGAAATTTTAAACGTGTGTTTGGTTGATGGCTGATGCAAGGGGAAGGGGTAGGAAAAAAACTCTTTTGACAACTCATCTGCTTATAAAAAAGATCCCTTTGCTTTGAGATGAAAAATCTGGTGATTGTTAGGTATATGTCCCTTCTTAGAGAGGCTAAATTGGAGCACATTTCTGCATCATTTCAATTTTTTTCCTCATAATCAGATATATGCAAATTTAAAAGAATTGGAGCAATACGTTTCTATTAAACTACATAATCACAATAAATTACAGTTGAAAATAAAATGAATAAATATATATTCAAATCGAGGCTTGAATTTCTGGTTCTCTTTTTTTTCTAATAGTCATTTTGCATATTTCCGTTTAGTTTCTAAGTTGCATAAGTTGTTTATAGAAATCAATAGGCTCCTAAACTTCATACCAAGTCAAACTATGACCAAACAAATTGAAACCAGTAAGTATTTATTATTTGAGGTAAACAATGTAGAAAAAAGGCCCACCGAGGGACCCCTACTCTCTAGATATAGATTTTAATGCTATTAATAAAGCAAGGTATAAAAAAAACAACGTTTCATAATATGCTAATTATCATTAAAAAGATGGTTTGCAGATTTACACATGTTTATAGGTCCAACAAACAAGAGTTGCAAGTAAATCTCAACATGCACAATATCTAAAATGCAACGAACAACAATTTCACGAGAAACAAAACTATCATAACATTTGGTATACCATAAAGGCAAATTCAAAAGAAGAGTAATTAATCATGATTGCTGAAGCTAATCAATTTGTAGTCTAGTCCCGGAAAACTTGAGCCTGCAAGATAAATTTGGCATTGGTGGAGGATCTTGAGGGATACAACTTGTCAAACAATCCAGAGAAAAAATTGCACCAACAGTTTGTTAAACATTTCTTACATTTCTTGCACATTCTGCTCTTTGATATGACAAGAAACTTCTTCAAAATCGTTGCATTCTTTAACAGAAGTTGTGAAAGTTTAACAAGTCTGCGAAAGCCCCGTTTTCTTTTTTGCCTGTTTAAACACACCAGGATGGAGTTGACAATCGTAATATTCTTCAGGTTGGGAAACACAAAGCTTGAAATCCAACTCTGCAAATCGGTATTGTTTTCCTCAAAGTCGCAAAAGTAATTATCAAGCTGGAAAAAAAGACACTAATCAGGACCAAATGCAAGTCAGCCTTATGGAAATTGATTATTTCACAGTAATAGATTCCTGTACTGAAAAGTTTCAGAACCAACTAATCATAACACACTTGGAAAATGAAAATACTAATTGTTCCTATCAATGGCTTAGGGTAACCAAAATGAAGAGTTATAGCGCAAAATTGATGTTCTTTCAGAGAACACATGCCACAAAGAAAGCAACAAGATATCCATACTGAAGTGTAGCCTTACAATGACAAAAGCAACGGTTCTCATTGATAGTTAAGATATATTTGCGTCCTCCTTTGGAAACAACTAGCTAAGAAGGAGAGGGATGGGGACGGAGCGAGGCGTTAAAATCATCAGTTAAATGAAAAGATATAAAAAGACAAGAAAAAGTTTCAGAAAGTTACGAGATTTTCTGTCATGTATATGTTTAAAGTCTCCACATGAGGAAAGGCTCCCAAAAGTCCAGCAACTCCATTCAAATCAAAGTTTTCTATACACAATTCTAGTGTTAGATATTTGCATTTCAACTCTGGAACCAGCAATCCATTGAACTGCAACATGCATGGGACCTGGTGCAGTAATCTCAGTGAAACTAGTAACAAATGAGGAAAGCAACAACAAAAAAATAAAAATAAAAAAAAACCTTGGGACAAAATCTAACTGTCTAAACACTCTAAAGCAACATCAATATAAACAAATACTCGTTTCTAGATAGACCTTTTGCATAAAAGAAATACCTAATTTTGAAATGCGACAAATGGATTGTATAAAGACACAACTGTCCACACGTTTCTGTAATTAGTCAACTTGCTTTAGTGAAATTCATCCAAAAGGTTCTTAATTGTAAAATGTTTACACTCTGCAACTGTGCTAAAAATTACTGTCAGATATCAAGAAATATTTTTATAAAGGTAAGGTAATTTCAATAACTTGACAGCACCAAATGTGTTATCTACATCATTGCACTAAATGAGGTTTAATATTTAATCTAATATCATTTACATTGTCAAGTTTAGACCAATCATCCAAAAAATACAAACAATTATATTTAAGGAGTTAAAAATTAACCTCTGTGAACCAAGATCCGATCGTTAGCTCAGTTGCACAACTCAACTTTTGAAGATAATCTCGGGCGAGAACGCTAAAATTTTGATGATAGTCATGACAGCTGTAGTCATCAACACTAATAAACTCCTTACGTTCATGTCGGATGTGTTTGATACATGAAATGTAGAAAGTAACCTTAGCATTAACCAAGGAGGACACGTCAACAAGCCTACACTGAAGATCCCCAAGATCTCCTGAAATTTCCAAATGCTCCAGATACGGGGCATAAATCTCCAAGGAGCGATCACTGATATCATGAGGCAACCTATGATTTTTCAAATTCAATCTCTTGAATTTTGAAGAATTAATTTTTAGGCAATGAAAACCCCCAACATCATCTAATTCCATAGTTTCCAATGCAGGACAACCTGATAGTAAGTTCAAAATTTCATCATCTTTTAAGATCACACTCTCCAGCTTTAGGCTCTTTAGAAACTTCCAGACTATAACCGCATCATTAAAGCAACACTGTCTCAGATATAATGTTATCAACGACGAACAGTTGCAAAAAGATTCAGGCAATACACAAGCATGTGTGTAGGAGGACAAGAATACAGCATGCTTCACTTCCCTTTCAACAGCAAAACTAAGCCATCGTTTAATTTGAGAGGTATAATTAAAAAGTTGTGTGCCGTCGAGTTCAAATTTTGTTATTTTGGAAGAAACGAAACCATTTAATACATGGTTAACAAAGGATACAAACTTTTCAATTTTCAGGCTACAATTCGGTTCATAAAAAACTCTGTAGGATTTCTGAGTGAAAATTAAGTTATAAACAAAAGTCCAAAGAAAGTGCCACCTTTTAGAGAGAAGGCATGTTGTGAATGCATCCTTTGTCGGCAAAAGAGAGAGAATTTGAACAAGGAGTGCGTCTGGCAATTGACTAATCCGATCTAGGGTTTCGATTTCGGTAACACTCAATTTCTCTCTCTTCAACAATGGGGGATTTATCATGTTGTTACTACCGCTATCTTCGCTGCCGCCCCTACCGCTATCTTCGCTCAACCACCCGTCGCCTCGCCTCCGCCTGGTTTTGGTTTATGTAATACGGCAAAAATAAGTAACGAAAAAGATAATGACAATTTAGTTTTTGTAATATTTATATGAGAAAAAAAACATAAGTAACCTATTAAGGAATAAATATTAGTCGTTTCTACCTTTTAGAGTTTGTTTGGTACTGCTATTAAAAATTGCTTATTTTTAGATTTATTTTTTAAAAAAATGCTTTTGAAAAATAGGAATATATGTTTGATTAATTCATTTGAAAATTGCTTTTGATAAGCAAATCATGTTTGATTAATTTTTAAAAAAAATTGTTTTTGAGAGTCAAATTATAAAAATGAAAAAAATATCAATGTACTTTTTAATATTAAGACTATTTTATAGAGAGAGACTATTTTAAATATCTATTAAATTTTTTTAATCCAATTCTTTTTTGGACAATTAAAAACATTTTCCATTACCAAAGTGAAGTTGTACAGAGTTCAAACCGTTGTAGTGGCATAGCAAGTTGATACACAGTTGGTGTCAAAGCTTATATTGTGTCTCTACTCCCTTTTCCGTTAGCATATGCATATGCACATGCCCAACGCCTTAAATTCTAATTATATCTGTATTTACGTCTGTCTAACCATTCATTACGTGCATCCACCTAAATAACCACACGCTCAAAAGCACCATTCAGTTACCAATAAATAGTGACAAACACAGAAATCCACATATTAGCTTGGGAGTACAATTCGAAAATCCATCCATGTATTGAAGAGCAATAAATACTCAGAAGTTTGTAAATTTTTATCCCTTCTAAAGAGTACATTTCTTGGAGAAGCAACATCTCTACCTAACCAGTCAGCCTTATTCTTACAAGGAATATTTCCACAATCCTTTACAAGGATGCTCACAAGTCTATGGATATTTTTAACAAATGATTCTGACATGACACCAGCGCAGAAATTGAGGAAATTTGACGCTCTTAAAAACACACATCTGCCAACACATTCACATCACCATCGATTGCAGAAAAAATAGCAACATTGTAGAATTTTTCCAAAAGTGTCGTGAAATATTATCAATATATCTTCAAGCCAAGAATACAATTCCGTGTGTGTAGAAATAGGCTGGACTCCTCCACCTTCTGCAATCCCCTATTCATCTGCATGAGCTTAAAACATCAAGTACATACACAAAATAACAATGGCAAATATATATTACACAACTTAAAGAAGACCGACAACAAATTTTACTTTTAAATTAAATGTCATTGAAAATATTCAAGTTGTAAGCTGTGCAAGCATAGTATTTTCATTGAAAATTACTTATTAAGAAAGAAATATGCTTCTACAGGAAAATGCACCACTTTGAAGTGATGGGGGTGGGGGGGGGGGGATTTCGGGACCACATTTTTGTACATAATCGGTGGAATGTGGAAACAATGAAATCTGTTTGTGTGTTTCAAACAAGGATGCTGTGAGACAGGGATTTGGTGTAGAACCTAAAGCCAACAAGATTCGAAATCCAAATTTTACATATATATGAGAAAGAGCAACAGTGAGGTTACAACCATCATACACAAAATAATTGGTAACAAAGGAATATTCTTTGCAGTAGTTCAATTTATACTTACCGTCGAAGAATGATTGAATGTTCATCCAAGTTAAAGGACAAAAGCAAGACCTGCAATCTCTTTTGACTTAGCAGCTCTTGTATGAACAAATAATACCAACAACAGTGAGAGTATATATATGTTGGATATAGGACTTTGACATATATAGATACAAAATCAGGGGCTCAATATTGAGTATTATAGCAGCCTTTCCTCAAGGGGCTGAAAATGCAAAATAAGTTAGATTAGAAAAAAATCACCGCCTTTTAATCTTTACTGGCAAAGTACACGTTGAATAGCATCAAATCCAGGTACGTATAACTAATAAGCATGATTGTAATACACCTTTATTGACGCTGTACATTAATTAATTCAGTACGAAAATGAAAATTATCAAACGACAGTGAGCCAACCAAAAATTGGAGAAAAAGAACAATAAGCTTTAAAAACATAATAAAAGACGAAATGGATATTAACAAAATTCACTACGAACTATAGAGAGTCAAAGAAATGAAACCAATTCAAGAGAAACCAAGAACAAGGAGTAGAATCCATTTTAGATAATTCTATATTTTTACATTCAATGCATCTTTTCAGTGTGATTTACAACAACATTAATAACTGCTGAGAAAAGTTTTGAATTTTGAATCTGATTCAGAAATAGGATCAGCATGCATGTGGGTTACTCCAAAATTGTTTATTGGAGAGCAAGGGAAACCATATCAAATCAAGGAGGGCTTTACATCAATCCAAAATTTCAAATTGCTATTCCACTATAGACAAAAATATCACCATAGAATAATAAACAAGAAAATTAAACCATGAAATTGGGAACTGTCAAGAAACAAAAAAAGAGAAGACAGGGAAAAGTAAGAATATTTGATGGAGAATCATACCTTAAAAGGTAACAAACATAAAAGAAGATGAAGAGAGCTAAAAGAATTCTTGAAAAAGGAGATTGAAAGAATACTCCTCTGTTCTGTTTGAAAAAGAAGACGGTGTTTCTAGACCATGTCATGTCGTGTGTGTTGAAATGGAGGACAAAATTATCTCCAACTTCCTTCACATTTGAAAAAATGAACTCATGGCATGGACAACCAAGTGGAAAAAGTCACTTGGAAGTGTTCCAATATAAGATAAAATTAAAGAGAAAACGTCTCCTAACTTTAAAGCTAAAATACTACTTCACTCCTCTCCTTAGAGGAGAATCTCACCCTTAAAAAAAATACTAACCAATCTGTGAAAATTTAGATTTTTCAATAAACATAGATTGACACTCCCAATAATTGAAACATAGGCTCATATATCAAAATCCACTTAGTAAGGAAGCAACAAGTACTTCCATAAAATTGAACATACCTCACCTTAAGTTTTAGAGAGTTTGCCTTGAATCTTTGACTGGATAGAGACGCCACGTACGGGTTTTATCCTTCAAGAATTGTCTTAGCGGCATTAATGGACATTACACGAAGATCATGTAAAGCCTTTTACACCATTACAGTTATGATACAATCTTTTATGTGGTTGAGATTATGATACAGTTATTTTCACTACCTAAGCATGTTTACAAAAACACAAAAGATATGCCATGAAGGCAAAATCAACTTTTTTGGAATTAATATGAACAAGCTAACTAAGCAGATGATTTAACCATACATCTTTTAGTATAGTGAACATATTATCTAACTGTGTCTAGTTTGCTGCACATACCATTTAAAATAAGTAATATCACCTAAGGAAAATTAAGTTACTGTTTTTATAGGATTAGAATTCGTCTAGAAGGAAATAACTTTGTTTTTGGTATATAAGAGTTTTAAACTTCTAATCCCATTGGCACCTTCTTAGTTGTCAGTGTTCTATTTTTGCGATTATAAAACAATCTGTTATTAGTTTTAAGAAAACATCACAGAAAAGGGGGTGCCAATTAATTATATACACTTTTTCCCTATGTACTTTAAAATTAGATAAAAGAATTACAAATTATACTTAAAATAAATACTTCAAACTCAACACTATAAATTATAAATCCTACTTCAAGTAAGGTGATCTACACTTGATACTACAAATTGTAAATCACAAAAGCTACATCAATGGTAAACATAAGTGGTCGAAACAATGAAGAAGTTTTTTTCCTCTTTTTGTTCACACTTTTCTTGAGCACTTTCAGCTGTGTTTTATTGAATTTCGGAATGAAGATAAACATTCCTACTACAACAAATTGAAATTACCTCCCTTGTTTCATCAATAATCTATTAAAGTTCAATAATGCTGATGAAATCAGTGAACTTCATAGTACGACCTACTCTTCTGCTCAAGGTGGCTTAGGCATGTATATTATGCCAAGAAAAAGACACAATGAGAAATTGAATAAAACTAATGAAGCATTACATATACCAAAAAAGTTGAAAGTGATCCATCTAAAATAACAAATGTTATGAAAAGTAGGGGACACTCTATGATTTTTTCTTTCTAAAGTTGTTGTAGCCTAGAAGAGCCCTTATATATTGTGTTAGTGTAGGCATTTTAATATTGTCATTTTACTTCTTTGGATTGCCACATTAACAATTTTTTTTTAAAAATTGTTGGAGTAACTAGCAGCCACTAAGTCTTTGTTGCAATGTATGGCATTTGTGCCTAATTACTCAATGGTTAATTAATGACCAGAGGCATTATGGCATATTGCTTTCTGAACGTTGACAATGGTCATATAGAAACATCTGCACGTTAGTGCATTTGTTGCCCCTCACCATTATTTCCCTTATTGCTCTATCATTATACCTTGCAACCTATGTAACTCCTAGACCATTTATCTTTTCTATTTACTACCCCATTATCTTCCTATTTATTCCTAGGAAGACTCTCTCAACTATAAATAGTGGTGGTCTTCATTTGGTTTGGAACACAAGAAAATAGAGAGTGCATAAAAGTTAGTCAAAAAAGAGAGTTCTTATTAGTTGAAGGGAGGTGTTCTTTTTGTGGAGCTTTGGACTCAACTCTTGTCCAGAGTTTGTTGAGTTATACTTTGTGATTAGGCTGTTGTATCCTGGAGGGGACAAGTCAAGAAGGACGACTGCTAGACCAGTGAAAAATATTTGATGCAGTAGGCTTGAATCTCCTTAAAGAGAGCGAGATATCCGCGCCTCAGCCTAAAGAGATTTTTTATTTCTTCATTTTATTTTTCAATTGTAATCTTGTAATTTTTCACTAACATATTGTACTAAGAAAATTTTCTTCTCCGTCTTCAAATCTCCACAACCCCGCTTCTACTTGTTGACAATTGTCTTGTCTTTGATTAGATACACTTATTCATTAGAAGAGTAATAGTTTATCAAATTCATTTAGTGAAATCTATCGAAAGTTTAACTCAAAAGAAGTTACATTGAAATTTCACCACCCCTCAATTCTTGTATTTCAAACTCTCGGTGCACCAAATTATTAACTCACTCTATTAGACTTGAACATCCTTGTTTTTTCTATAATGTCCTACTTACTACCATTCAGTTAGCGCTGCTTCTTAGAACATCAACATTATTTCAGGCCCACCACAAAACAAATGACAAAATCGTTCATGCTAGAAAAGATGGCAGAAAACAGTCTCGTCAGGGTTAAGCAACTGGACATTTGCCACCTCATCATTATCTAAAGTCCTATTATTACATGCTATTTGCGCCTTAACAGTACCTATGCATACTTCCTATGTGACTTTGTCCATATACTTTTATTCCTTCACAGGTTTTGTTTCCTATATTCAGCCACCCTCTTAAGTTCCTCCCATGTTCTTTATCCTCTCTACAACACAGAGCCTATAGACAATACCTTTTTGCCCTTCTAGCATAGAGAAAATCAGCTACTGCAACGTAAACAGAATTTTGAGTACAAATTCGCATATCAAGTACATCAAAATAAACCAAGGGTATCAGCTAAGGACCTAAGTGGTGAAAACATCATATGCAAGATACATGAGCGACTGCCAAGCTAGCTTGCTTTATATTAGATTTCTCACATGCATAGAGCCACTACCTCTTTAGATGCCCAGAATTCCTCTAGCTTATCACTTGCAGAAACTTCTGTAAATTGTTTGGAATCCCAGAAATAAGTAACCAATGGTAGGTAGGGAAAGAGTAAGATTCCACAATATGATTCAAAAAAATCTTTATCGAAACACTTGACATATTGGAAATGAGTTGCAAAAAGCAGAAGCAACAATGCCCTTCAATTAATCATGGCCAAAGTTCCTACTTACATCAGCTGAGGAATTGATACATTTCAGAAGATTTTCCAAGTTCAAAAACAAAGAGAAGGCTACCACTTCCTTGAACCACAAAACCAAAGAATAACTTTCTTTATCTATATGTCCAAGAATTAAGGTGGCTAGACAAATTATATTCATTCTCAAAAAACATCTTGAAAATATATTTATAAAATCATTAAAGAAATGCCTTTTCTCCAAATTATCATCTATATTTAGAAGTGCCATGAGAAGCCAATTCGACCAGAATATTTCTCAGTAAACTAAGTTAAAAATTACAAATGAAAGGAGGCTTAGTTTCCTATAGTTAATGGAACATCTAGGTCAGCAAGCACTACAACGCCAACTATAATAAAATCAATTCAAACCTGAATATACACAAACCAGCCAAACCCCTGAATTTATACAGGAAGTCAAACTTACTTTAGTTTGTTCTTGTTCATACTCTCGATATGCCTCTGCAAAGTAACCTGATGCCCTATAGATTCCCTGCATCTGTGATAAACAAAAACATTCACTACATCAGTCTTCTAATGGAACCTCATCTACAATGCTAAAGCTTCTATGACAACTGAGAAGAAGTATTGACAAACAAGTCCCAGACACTTGACAAGTCTTTATACTAGGTATGACGTCCTGAATCAATTTGAAAAATCCCAATTTATTTGCAAAGGGCATGTTAAGTAGACAAGTCGAACCACATAATAGCGGCTTAAAGTTTACTATATCTATACATTATATTAGAATATAAAAGAATAATAAAAATAAGAAACTAACAGGATTCGCTGAGCGAAACCGAATGCATCGGAAAAAGAGCGTCATCATTTAAGAAAATTTAGAGGTTCAAATAGCTGAACCCATGACCTTTCTTTTTTCTTAAATGAGATTCTGGGTCATTCCCAGTGCCTCATCTTTGAGTCAAGAACATAGTCTAGGTACTGATCTGGCATTGTTATGGCTTGATACTCTTACATTGCATACTTTGTAAATGTTCTCTGAGCTTCTCATTCTCAATTGAAAGATTCTGCTTTCATGCGTATAACACGGTCTATTGATCTGTGTTTCCTGAATTTTCTGTTTCCACGAAACTACAAGGAGAATCGAGGTAAGGATTG